ATGGTGATGAAAGATGATTGCAGTGGTGGAAGATGATGGTGATGATGGTGATAATGGCGATAATTGTGATGAAAGATGATTGCAGTGGTGGAAGATGATGTGATGATAGTGATAATGGCGATAATTGATATGATGATGGATATGATAAAAATAAATGATAATAATGTCCACGATGAAGATGATAATGACAATAGTGATGATAATAATTATAAAAAAACAGTGGTTAGACCTACATTATCCACAAGATTGAAGAACCTTTTAGGAAGAGACTCGCCAAAAAACACAATATCTATCAGGCGGAAAAAAACAGTCGAAATATTTAAAATAATTAGTTTCAGCTGTATGGCTGAAGCCTTATGCAAAAATCAAACACTACGAAAAAGCCCATTTCTTAAGCTTAACTTCAAGTACGGAACACAGCACCTGTAACCAATCCCCTCCATTAACTACGTATGGATTGACACAAAGAACAAAGAAATACTGAAATAATTCAAATAAATCATTGTGCAAAATGTAATCAGCTTTTACTTATAATCTGAAGCTAAAACAAGACGAGAATTTTGTTAACTGACCTGGTTTGACAATTCCTTCACATGCTGAACACTTTGGAATCTTGTCCTTAAAAACTTTATCTGTCACGAAAACGTTATTCTTTATTAATGATTTAACCTCTGGAGACCAGGGTATGCTTTAATGGGAATAATATTGGAAGGAACCCTCTTTTTTCCCTTTTTGTTCAGAGTGCCAGACACTTGGAGTTGGAAAAATATAAAGAAGCTAACAAGAAGTATTCTTTGTCCATCTTCTCGAACTCATTTTGCAAAAAAATTGAATAGTACTTTAGAAAGAAAAAAAGACATTTTCCTCATTATTAAGCAATTGAATACTCACCTTTAACCCATTCCTGGGTATATTCTTTTCTACATTCAATGCAGTGAGCAGAATGGAATGTTCCATGTGCTTCAACAATGTTCTCACTTGACAAGCCTGCAATTCTTTCAAGGGTATCAATATTCTGCGAATAAACAGAGACAATATCGTGGGTTGGCAAATGGTCAGAAGGCGTTGGTAATAGTTGGCAAGCAAGAGAATATTCTCTTGTTGGCAAGTGATCAGTAATGATTGACAAATGGTCAGAAGGTGTTGGTAATAGTTGGCAAGTGATCAGTAATGATTGGCGAATGGTCAGTAGGTGTTGGTAATAGTTGGCAAGTGATCAGTAATGATTGGCAAATGGTCAGTAGGTGTTGGTAATAGTTGGCAAGTGATCAGTAATGATTGGCAAATGGTCAGTAGCTGTTGGTAATAGTTGGCAAGTGATCAGTAATGATTGGCAAATGNGTAATAGTTGGCAAGTGATCAGTAATGATTGGCAAATGGTCAGTAGCTGTTGGTAATAGTTGGCAAGTGATCAGTAATGATTGGCAAATGGTCAGAAGGCCGTGTTGGTAATAGTTGGCAAGTGATTAGATAAACATGTTTGCATGTCTCTACTGTGATTTAAACCAAGGGCGGATCCAGGGGGAGGGTCGGGGGTGTCGCGACCCCCCTTTTATTCCTGAGGTCAAATGGGCTTCCTGTGGTAAAAATGCGACTGGGATTCCTTTGCCCACAAAATTTACCCCTGAGACCCCCCCTTCAAAAAAACCCTGGATCCGCCCTTGTAAACACAATGGAAGCTGTAGAGCCTGAGACAAGCAAGCCTATCTTGATTTTGAAAAGAAATAATCTTGAATGATTTTTAGAGAGCATGTCTCTGTCCTCTGTAATGCATGTATAACCACAGTAGCCAGCCAATCAGTGCGAGTTATCTTTAAAATACCTAATTAAATAATTATATTTATATCATTTGTCATACCTGTGTGTAGTTCCTTAAAAGGACACCTTTGTTCTCCAGCAGTTTTATGAAATAATGTGAAATTGTAGGCTGACAGAGTAAAAATCAAATACGATACTATTATAAAACGAATATACTCACATTCAACATAGCAATAGCTATAGAATGTTTTTAACGGGTTGTTCAAAATAACTAAAATTTCTTCATCAAGATGTTTTAATTATCGAAAAATTGTTTTTTACTGACATTTTATTTTATTCATTTTGTTATTTTATTATCAAACCTCACAGCATTGACAGAATATTTTCTAAGGAGTATCAAGGACTTTCCAATCATTTTTATTTTTCAAGACTTTTTCGAGGGCTCTTGAATTTGCATCACAAATTCAAGGTCATTTCAAGGACTTCAAGGACCTGAACGACCCCGGCTGTTTGTAAATAGAAGCTAGGCTTTACAGATGCATCGTCATATATATATATAACCTTTAGCCAGGCTTGTGGAGGTGGGGAGGGGGGGGTGGGGGGTGGAGATCTTTGATTGATTTTATCTAACATCTATTAAGATTGGAAGAACTACAATTAAAACAGTTGATAGATAGATAATTTGTAACACCGTATGGTGATGTAAAAATGAAACTGACGTTTCGGACGTTAGTTAAACCGGTTTTACTCCGATGAAGGACTAACGTCCGAAACGTCAGTTTCATTTTTACATCACCATACGGTGTTACAAATTATCTATCTATCAACTGTTTTACTGAAAACACCAACGCAGTTTACACTAGTTTTCACTAGTTTTCCACTTTATTCAGAACTACAATTAGTCTGTTTATGTTGACATTTCTCATGCCGGCATGTGTTACGAAAATAAACAAGCTTGGAGATGCAGGTAAACCGGTAAACACACAGAAGTTGCTTAATATGTCATCATAGTTAACAACTATGATGTCATCTAGTGTATTTTAGATTTGAAGAGCTGCAATAGTCTGTTGAAATCTCTCAATTTTCAAAATGGTTTGCAAACATGACCATGCTATTGACATCCTAGCCTGTGTGCAGCCGGACATAACTAACTGTTAAGACTATACAAGAGAAAAGTCCAGCTGCATGCAGGCTATTGACATCCATGTTTATCAGTTATCCTTTCAACAATCAATCACTACTACTGGGAGAAATCATGTGAAATTCAAAAGTTCGCAGATATTTTTCAGAGGTTTTAACATGTCATGTTTTTTTATCAAGCAGTGGATAATTCCTTAGCAATAATTGCTTTAGTACCTTAAAAGTTCCAGGATAGAGCTCCTTAGCAAGCATATAAAATGGTTCAGGATTTTCCTGAAAATTTCAAAACAATCAACAAATTATAAATTAATTTTAAAAATCCAGCTGTCTAACATGTCCTGTGATCTTGTGTCTGCAGATATCAATCAAAACTACAACACTTGATTCATCTTTCTATTTTCATTTTTTTAAAAACAGCTCAATAAGAGGAAATGGCAGGTGGGATATGGGGGGCAGGTGGGATATGGGGGGCAGGTGGGATATGGGGGGCAGGTGGGATATGGGGGGCAGGTGGGATATGGGGGAGTGTCATTTAAAATTCAGGGTTAAGAGTTGGCACCACAAAAGAATTTAAGTCAAAAGGGGGATCAATAAAAGATACACAGTACTTTCACTTTGGATTGAATCTGAAAGAAAAGGAGCCATTTTTTAGATTTTTTAGTCAACACAACAGAAAGAGAGGGGTCAGATTTATTCTATGGATTACCAAGTGAATCCCACCCCCCTCCCAACCTCCCCACCCCCTCCCTGGTAAAAAAAAAGAACAGTTCCCATATTAAAGAAACAAACACAAACCCTGAAGTATCCAATTTCAAATACACTTTGTGGAGATGGTAGGTTATACTTCTGTAGGTTGTCATAGAGACCAGTGCCAGGAGACCTAAAGTCAGGGATACCTGCTGCTGTCGAGATTCCAGCTCCTGTCATGACAATAATGTTTTTACCTGGAAAAGAAAACATTGAATTTAATTATGTAAATCCATGCATTTTAAGGAACTGGGGAGTCATGTTAATTATTAGGGACTGGTATGGTCATAAAATAAAGCAGGGTAAAAACAGGAGGTGGGTCACGCAATTAATTTGAGCTTCTTAGGGGTGGACTGTTTATGAAACTGAACATTAGCTAGGGTGAGACATTTGCATTTCCTGCATTGAACCTGGTGAGGCCTAGGGGTCATCATTTTTTTAACCTCATTTAATATTGGGTCATCAGAAAAAGAGCCAGCTCCTACAATCCAGCTTAGTCTACYCCTGCCGATTTTCGTTATGAGCAGTCTCGTAAGTTATATCAATATAATCCACTGTCAATCATCATCCCACTACATCCATGATCAAGATATATATAATAAGGCCATTTTTTAAGGCCATGTATATACGAGATGACAATAAAAAATAGAGATCTAAAAATATACTAGACTCATACTGTTTAGGCTTAGTCTTCAATTAATTAGCTTAGAAGATATTAAAAAATGGCTGTTTGTTGATATTTAATGCAGGCCCTTAGCTTGGGGAGAGGCCTGGGGGGTTTGCCCCTTCTTCCCCATATTTTTGACCTTGCTAAGGAACTCCCAGCCCAGCACCCATTCTCTGCAATTCTTGCCAGTCAATAGCAGATATATGCATAAATGCATTTTCAGGCCTTGAGGCAAATTCATGGTTCCGACTCCCCTTAGTTACCATTGTTATGTCCCAGAAGCTCAACAAATTAGCTTGGATATCTCGAAATTTAAAAATCTGATCATGAAAAATTGATTATATAATGTTTCAATTATTTACTGTCCTGCAAAAAGAATAGAAAATTGCCTCGTAATCCTGTAGTACTCTTTAAAACAGATACTGTGTAGTTTTTTTTGGGACAAGATTTTAATTCCACTGGGAAAACTGCTGCAATGGTGACTGGTTTGGTATTGCAACTTATACCTAAAGATTCATACAAATAAACTTCATTCATTGGATTTTCTTTTCTACATACATTTCTCAGACTTGATGTATTTAGCAGCTCCTTCAAACGTTACTTCTTCAAGTAGTTGTTCTGGTTTTTCCTTCTCTTCCTCTTCTGGTGCAGCAACTCTAAACCGTGCCAATAACTGCTGCAAGAAGTTCACTAAAAATTGATAAAAGGAATTAGTAAAATGAGTACTTGCATCAAATTGTTACTTTAAAAAAATGTTCGCTACCAGTGAGGTAAATATTGGGGAATATTTACCGATGAACATCTTTGAGCTGCAAGGTAAATATTCTAAATATTCACTGAGCCTGAGGCAAATGATTGTTTTAGTATAACTATAGACTTGAATATCCGAAACATGATGACATTCAGGATAAAAAAACGTTTTAGTATTACTTCCTCTCTGTCAAACTTTGGAAAACCTCATAATCACTGCTCGAGCAAATATAGTCTGATAAAATCACTTATTGCTCGACCAATCACAGGGCAAGGAACTCTATACAATATTTCTTTTTATTATATAATTACCAATGAAATATCTATTTTTCTCTATTTCGAAAAATTGATATCTTCACACGTGAAAATAACACCATTGTGATGGCTATTCAAAAATACACGGAAAGAATTGCCTGAAAAAGCCAAAACATACTTTCATTGATAATTATATAATAAACAGTATATTACATGGGCGCTTGGAGATACGAAATTTATCTTCTCGTGTTGAAAATCTCTCACTCGTTCGCTGCGCTCACTTGTGAGAGATCTTTTCAACACTCAAAGATAAATTTCGTATTTCCGCGCGTCCATGTAATATCCTCTATGTTTTTCTCCAAGAAACAATAGAGGTTTTAGACTCGGCATAAACTTTATTATTAATATGCTTTAAATTAACTTTATTCATTATTATCATTTAACGATGCAAAGGAATGAAAACAGCTGGTGGAATAAAAATAATTCATCAATATTTACAGTGTTTATTCTCCTCTGTTGTGCCTGTCCCTTGGCTCGCCTGGCTACCACTCTTCGAACTAGCTCCATCATTATCTACAAATAATAAAAGGTAAACAAGTTGTTATGAGCTTAAATCTTAATTCTCTTTTATAAGGAACTAATTCATGAAAAATTGGTTCAGGCAGAACAGCTGTGAGGTAAATGTTCGCTAAGTTGACGCTAAATTACGTGTTTTAACAAAATCCTTATTTACTTCATACTACATAAGTAAGAATAAGTCTCAGGCTGACAATTTATTGTTATATCATTCAAATAACGAGGAATTGAAACAAAGAACATTGATTTTTTTTCGAACAGATGTGGATTTTACCAATCAAAGCAATAAAATGTGATCGTTAAGTTTTCAGGTTTAGCCCTCAGATTACCACTTCCGTTATGTTCTTAAACAAATTTTGAATACATACCTATATTTTTCATTTTTAAATTCCGAAATCCTTAATGATGTATAATTTTGCACTTATTTTTTCGATCAAGCACCAAAACTGAACCGGAAGCCAAAACACTCTTCGAATACCACAATAGTTACTAGACCATCTCGAACTCAGTTACACAGGAAACCCGCATACTACGTTCCAGGACAACAGGAGGGAATGGGATTGCGATTTGCGCAAAACATGGGCTGGGACGGGATTTGGTCAAAATGGGGGCAGGGAAATGGGACTAGGACTCCTCCCCCCCCCCCCCTTCCCCCTTCAGAACCTTATTACATTGTTTACAATATTTTCAAAAAGCATATAGCTTATCATTATCATCATCATTATCATCATCATTGTCATTGTCATTATCATTATCATCATCATTATCCTCATCATCATTATCATTATCGTCATCATTATGCACCTATCAGTGGCTTCCCCGTGGGGTCGACCCCCGGGCTGACCAGGGAGATAGTAGGGAGAATTTAGAAGGATTGGATCCAGTTATTCCCCCTGGGGTTGGGAAAATTTGCGACATTGGTTTCGTAGCTAAAAACTGAGGTGGGGGATTGTGATCAAATTATTTTCATTGCAGAGGTTACCAGAGGGATTGATTTTACTCTCTAGGTAAAGAAATAGCTCCTGATTTAAAAAATTTTGAGACCACGGATGTTTTTGGTCGGGCTGGGTAACCTGTGTTATTCGACAATACCCAGATGCCTCTCTGCTCGTCAAGATGGCTGACTAGGTGAGAGAATTCCACTGTGAAGTATGTTTTTTGACATTCTTTGTTGTTTCATAGATACGAATTCGAAGGCAACTTGATTTTTTTTTACTTTTAAATGTGAATTCTTCTTTTCATGAGAGTTTGTTTCCCAATCTTTTCAATGAAAAACTACCTGAAATATCGAGCAAACCGCACGGGTTACGCGTTGAGTTCAGTTTTCAAAATACAACAACGATAATTTCAACCAAAATGAGGGAGATTGTAGATTTGAATGCCTCGACCAGGGGACATTGAAAAGAACAACTTCCCTACCCCTGGGAAAAATGATCAACATTGTTTATGAATAAGCCTTTTCATAGTTTAAGAATCGATTCCACTGCGCATGCGATTTTATCCCGAATTTCTCACCTTCTTTTGAAGGTTTAGACAAAAGGTGAGAAATTCGGGATAAAATCGCATGCGCAGTGGAATCGATTCCTAAACTATGAAAAGGCTTATTTTTACAATCTCCCTGGTCAGCC